ACTAAATCACTTGATGTGAAACTTCCTACTATGCCTAAAAGGTTATAAAAAGTCAGAGTTTTCCTCTGTTTGGAGGATTGTTCTGGAGATTCCTCAGGATTTGCTCATGGAGGTCCTCTGAAGGCTGCTGTCAGAGGCTCCTCTGCCTCTCTCCTTTATTCCCCTTCCTCCTGCCATCCTTTTCCTACCTCTCCTCATCTCTCTTATTCTTAATGAAGCTCCTCTCCAGGCTTTAAAGGGACACCTTTCCTTCCCTCTATGGCCCCATCATGTTCAGATCTCCATATACTGTATTGTTTTTATCTAATACTCTTCCTCTCACCTCAAGGCCCAATCATGGCCACGAGGCCTCCTTCTTCTAAGAAACCTCATTCCTGAAGGGAATTATGAATTATGTGTCAGCTTCCTTTCCGGCCCAACTGCTGCTGTTCTTCATTCTATTTAACAGTAACTATGAGTAAAGCTATCTCAGTAATATTCAAGTCTGTGAAATATCATTAATAATAAGTATTAAATTTAGCATTTTTAGCCAGATAAGGTGACTCTTGCCTTTAATCCCAGCATGTGGGAGATAGAGGCAGGCAGATCTTTGTAAAATTGAGGCTAGCCTGGTCTATATAGCAAGTTCCAAGTCAGCTGGGGCTACAGGGAGACCTGGTCTTAAAACAACAAGTCACTCAGGAGGCTGAGGTAGGTAGATCTCTGTGAGTTTGAGGCCAGCCTGGTCTCCATAGTGAATCCAGGTCAGCTGTGGCTACAGGGAGACCCTGTTTCACACACACACACACACACACACACACACACACACACACACACACAAAATCTCCATAATAGTCTAATGAGATCTGCATAATGACAAAACCATTTGACATGTCAAGGTGGATGGGGAGTGTCACAGGGTCCTACCTCAAGATGAAGAGCTACAAGCAATCAATAGATGCTGAGGGAGGGGGAATCAGTTTTCCCCAGGGACTAGTTCCCTGAGAGGTTATCTAATCCTAAATGGACAACCCTAAACACAGGTACACATGAGCACCACTAAATTGACTCAGTGCAATATATACATATATATATACACATATGTATACTTATAAATGCATGTATGAATATGTAACAATAGTAATCAAAGAAGAAGACAAGATATTGAAATTGAGAGGGAGTTGGTAGGGGACTGGGAGAGAATGAAATAATGCAAAGACAATATTCATGTATGAGATTCTCAAAAATAAAAAAAAAATTTAAATTAGCATTTACACTAATATCATTCTTTTTAAATTTAAGGCCCACACAACGGGAGGCAAATCATGTCTGGTACTGTAAACATAGCCAAGTAATACAGTAAGAAATTACATTTGTCTAAGAAAATGACAGAAGTAGGTTTTTTTCTAGGGTCTATGACCTCTCCAGCTGTGTATACTTAGCTATGTTTACAGTACCAACACGATTTCCCTCCCATTGAGTGGGCCTTAAATTTAAGTGAATTGTTAAATTAAGCTCAGAGCAGCAAAAGGACACTGCCACAAAGAGTATAAAGCATTAAGAATCTACAAGTTTACAGGGATACTTGATAGAGGGAACCCAATAAATGTAGGGAAACTACCTTACAAAAACTTGTCAGCCAGTAAAAGCAGAAATTATAAAATCTTGGTTTTGCAGACTTTCCTTGGCCCTCATAACTATCAAAAGGATTCTGGTAAAAATTTTCATGCATGCTAAAAGTTTTGGGTGAGAAGTCTGTAGGCACCAGATCTCAAATGATTGCTTCAGATTATCTCCTGATTACAAAAGTTAACTATTATAGTGCAGAACCGACAGCCATTACCTGTTTACCAGGTGACCAAAGAGCATCATCAGCACGTGGATAACTTTGTGCAACTCTTGCTGAGACCACGTAAGGATGTGACTTGGTAAGACTGACAATCTGCCCCCTTAGTAGACTTCCTGCCACAATGTTTCTGCTGAATCTACTCATGAGGAAACAGGACAGTATGCTGATAATCAGTGAACCTTCATGAAGGTATGTATAAGGCATATACACTGTGCTTCATATTGCTTTCAGATACTCTCTAAATTTGAAATTTAAAAAATAACATGTTAACAAAGTCATTAAAATCTGAGAGATCTCTGTTATGGAAAACAAATATGAAGAGTGACTTAAGTCTTGAGTTAAAATCAATTTGTCTTTTCAAAAACAAACAAGTATACTCAAAATTAAAGCAGAATTCTACTTATCTTCTATGACCCAAAGCCTTAACATCTACATGCCCTGTATTTTGTTCCAGCCATGAACAATATAGGTTTTTCCTGTCTCCTTCAGGTCACACTCAAAGCAAAGAGGCAAAGCATAACTGACAAAGCACGTATACTTGGCTCCAGAAATAAACTCAAGATCTGGAAGCAAAGTCTAAACTTTCAAAATTTGCTTTTCCATCTTTAAAGAAAGTTTTAACATCTCCCATACTTTTGAATCTTTAGGAAAAAATATCCTGTAGAAATTCTATGTGAAAAAGGAACAGTATATTCTCATACATTAAGGATGTTGGAAACTAAAACTATTTGTCGTACATCAAAGAACTTTCAGCTTTAACATCATGTATGAAGTCGACTTTTCATTTTATTAAAAATAACAAGTAGGGTTGGGTATGGTGGTGCATGCCTTTAATCCCAGCACTCGGGAGGCAGAGGCAGGTGGATCTCTGAGTTCAAGGCCAGCCTGGTCTACATAATGAGTTCCAGAACAGCTGGGGCTACAGGGAGACCCTGTCTCAAAAAAGACCAAAAATAAAAAAATAAAAAATAAATAAAAAAAAATAGCAAGTCAAAATTTTGTTAATATATATTTCATGTATTTGAAAAAAATACATTTTTCCACTTGTAGATTTCATTGGAAATATGTAGCAGTCTTTCATTTTTCAGAAGTACTTGTTCAGATCATCTTTTCCATTTTTGAATGTTTGTTTAACAGAACGACAAAATGCAAATGGAGTAGCAGGCTCTTTGCCTGCTGTCCCAAGAGGGGAACACATTGATACCAGCCAGACAGCTCAGTGGGTAAAGGCATGCCACCAGGCCTGAGTTTGATCCTCACATGTTGGAAGTTGTCCTGACTTCCACACATATATGCCATGCCCTCCCCAGTAAAAAAAAAATGTAAAAAGGAGGAAGCGAAACACCCACTGCACAGAGATCAGAGAAAAGGCAGTAAGCCTGCTATGTATAGCAGAGGCAGAAGTAAAAACTTGTGTTTAGTCAGAGATATGTCACAGTGTGTCAAATCCCAATTCCACAGGGTAAAAGCCAGCGGCTTCTTGTTGCAGCCCTACTTCGTATGCTTCTTAGTATGTTAGTGTTGGTAAACTTTAATCATTGATATTGTGATCAGAAGCTTGACACTGTCAGTCACCACCTCCTCCCCATGGCCTAAGAGAGGGAGAGGGGCTGTGAGTTATTAACATGACTATGATGAAGCCTTCATGAAAATTCCTGCAAGAGAAGGATCGAAGCTCCCGGCCTCTTCCACATATCTTGCCTATGCATCTCTTCTATCTGGCTGCTCATCTGTCCTTTTTAATAAGCGGGTGTCTGTCTCTTAGTTGTGAGCTGTCCTTGCAAGTTATTAAATATGAGGGGAGTATATGAAACCATTTATAGTCAGTCTGTCATTAGCACAGTTCACAATCCAGTAGTCATGATTAATGCCTGAATTGGGGGCAGTGCTATAGGAGAGAGCCCTTGCCTGGCCCTAACTCTGTGTGGACAGAACAGAATGGAATTATAGAACAGCCTGTCAATGTCTGCTAAAGAATGTCTTGGTGTTTGGTACATGAGAAACTTTTTCATTTAATCAGCCACCATCCTGTGAAGGCCTCTGAATCCAAAGATTCTTATTTCTGAGGTAAAACAATGGCAAAAAAAAAAACATGAAACAAATTGTCCAACAAAATCATAGCATCTACAGGCTAGAGATTGCTCTGCTGTTAAAAGCACTGGCTTAACTGTAGTGGGAACTGGGCAACAAATTGGAGGTTAAGCTAGGCTACACAGCAGGACTGTCCAAAATAAAAAACAATTTGCTACTGACCTTAAACTGATGTCCTGTGCAGGTAGGAGGTTTAGCTGCAATCCTGGCTTCTAGCCACTGAATGCTAGCAGCAGACCACCCCTAAAACTGACACCAAAAGTATCTGCAGAAATTCCCCCAGATTTCATATCAGTAACTTAATACAGAAGTTTCTAAAAAGTTAATAATTAAAGTATTTTAATTTTTTTTAATTTTTAATTTAAAATATTCATTAATGTTTTTGGAAATCTTTAGTTTTTATATACCAGGTCCATAAGCTGCACTAAGAACAATCATGATAAAATTTTATTTAAATAAATTAGTATAGAATTGTTCATGGATGAATGATCTAATAACTAAGAAATTTAAGTATCTTGACATATAACTTAAAAACAAGTAAATTTTATTTTTCTTTAATAGAATATTGCTTGATAACATAAAATACATATTAAATCTATGAAGTACAAAAGTTTATATCTGCTGGTTGCTGTATCGAATTTCTCACCTAAAAGACCAAAATAAAAAATCTTTGAAGTCAAACTTTCAACATGAATGAATCTAAAACAGCTCTAATTCTAAAACAGCATCAATATAGTAAATATCATTCTGATATTTCTGATAGATCACAGAAACACAGTTCTGCCTTGGTCTGAATCACTGTTACCCAAACCAATTACAAATGTTTCTTCTGAAAGATGCTACTACACATCCTGCAGGCTCAAATATAATGGTTATCTAAAATTAAATTGACAAAATGAAGAGAAAGTAGGTCGAATTGGAACCTGTGGACAATTTTACAATATTTATGAGAAACAATTTTTCACAAATGTAGAAAGTCTTTGCTTTACTATCAACCAGGACCCTTAAAATGATCACCTTAAGCTTTCAAGTGCTGAACAGCCCAAAACCAAAGATTCAAATAATTTCAAAGGATCACGGATGCTGATGCTCATGTGTCAGTACTTTAATAGTGTGCACATCAACTATAACAAAGACACGTACAAGATGCACTTCTATCGTTGAACACAGGCTGCATTACAGTAAACCAAGTTTATATTCCACCATCAAGTGTGGTTCACCCATTAATTCACTTTGTGATGGATCTGAAAACAAACAAAAACAAGCATTATAAAAGATTCTCCAAAAATAAATTCAATGGTTCCAACTTACATAAAAATCTAATCCAGTCAAAACGAATCCAAAGTGACAAGAAAGCAGACTACTGCCTATCTGAGGCTGGGGGCTGACTGAAAAGGGACCAAGTGGACTTTTAGGGTGGTGAAACAACACTACATCTTGATTTAAAGGGACCCAGTTAAATGCGTTTGTTAAAACACAGAACTGGGAGCTGCAGAGATGGCTCAATGGTTAAGAGCTCTTCCAGAGAACCCAAGTTGAGTTCCTAGCACTCATGTCAGGTACCTCACAACTGCCTCTCCAGCTCCAACACCCTCTTTTGGTCCCTGTGTGCACTGTACTCATGTGCACATACCTCCCCACAGACACACACAAATGCACATAATTAAAAATAAAATGTCGGGCTGGAGAGATGGCTCAGTGGTTAAGAACACTGGTTGTTCTTGCAGAAGACCCGGGTTCAAATCCCAGCACCCACATGGCAGCTAATAACTGTCTGTAACTCCAGTCCCAGGGGATCTGACAGCCACTTCTAACCTCCATGGCCACTGCATGACACAGGTGCACTTACCTACTTGCAGGCAACACACATAAAACAAAAATAATAAGTAAAATGCAAAAATAAATACATAAAATGTCTTACTTTGAAAAAATAAAAACAGAACCGTACACCTAAAACTGGATATATCCAATGGCATGTCAACTATATCTCAATATAGTTGATTTTAAAATAAAGAAAACACATTTTATCTGTATCATTCTCTGCTCCATTGTATAGACACAAACATAAATTGGAATTCCAAAGGAAGAACGCCTTAAAATCCATCACTCTCATGTTTATAGATGTATCAGAAAAAAATTATACTTAACCTGTAGTAACACACCTAAAAAAACTTTAAAATTTCATATCTACAAATGCTCCCAAAAAAACCAAAGTCTTTTTGTGGGGGCTGGAGGGATGGCTCAGAGGTTAAGAGCACTGACTGCTCTTGCAGAGGACCTGGCTTCAATTCTCAGCATCTACATGGTGGCTAACAGCCACCTGTAACTCTAGTTCCAGGGGGGTCTGACACCCTCTTCTGACCTCTATGGGCATGGCACGACACAAGTGCACTTAAAATACACGCAGGCAGTACACTCATACACATAAAATAATTTTTTTAAAAATTAAAAAAAAAACAAAGTCTTTTCCTCAATAGTAATAAAGTCTAATGAGCCCGACTAACATAGTATATAAAAATGAATAACCATTCATATTATAATAAGTAACAGCACAGTGTAACAATGTGGGCACTTCCTCCCTGGATCATGCCAGAGTCTGGAGATTATTGTGTCTCAGCAGTTCAGCAGTCTGTCGTCTCAAAATGGGTCATACCACAAAGCAGCCCTAGTAACAAACTGGCATGAATACAAAGAGCAGGCAAAGATGTCCACAGACATTGGTCTGAGTAAGAAAAAGACCCATCAATACATATGATATGGATATTTTAATATGCAGCAGGATGCCAATTTTGTTTAAAAAAAAACATAAAACAATGCCAAATTTTTTCTAATTATACATCTGTATAAAGACACAGAAAAATGTCTGGAAAGAAATAATAAAGAACATCCCAAACAACTAAGTAATGTAGGACAAAATGGGATTGGGTAACATGAAGAATCTGATTAATCTACTTTATGAAGTTTCTGAATCTCTTTACCAGGAATGCATTATCACTCTCACCAAAACTTATTGCTCTTGCAGAGGATCTAGATTTGCTTTCCAGTACCCACATGACTGCTCACAGACACCTGTAACTCCAACTCCAGGCAATCCAACACCCCCTCCTGGCCTCTGTGGGCATTGCATACATGTGATGCACAAGCATACATGCAGGCAAGGCACACATAAAATAAAAATAACTAAACCTTTTTTTAAAAAAATATTTTATTTATTTTTATCTTATGTCTATGACTATACTGCCTGCATGTAGATAAGTGCATCCATGTTGTGCAATGCCCACGGAGGACAGAAGAGGCCATCAGATCCCCTGGAACTGGAGTTATGGACAGTTGTTAGCTGCCATGTGGGTGCTGGGATTTGAACTTGGGTCTTCTGCAAGAACAACCAGTGTTCTTAACCACTGAGCCATCTCTCCAGCCCCTAAACCTCTTTTTTTTAAGTTCTTTCAGGGAAGAGTCTTAAAGAGGCAGCTTACTAGACTTCTGTTGTCCACAGCATTTCCTTACCAAGTATCAGCGGCCAAGCAAAACTAAGTGAAACCCAGTTCTGTTGGGCTTTCCTATTTCTCCTGCACTGCTGGAACTTGATGGTAGGGGGGTAAACAAGATAGAATTATATTTGTTTATCTTCCTCAGATATGGAAGTAGGATGTTGCATGCACTGTTCTTACTAAAAAGTCATTTCTCTCATCCATAATACAATATGGGAGATTTGGCTAAAGTGACAGGTTCTCCTGTTCTGCTCACCCTCCACAATAGCTAAACATTATTGGACGAGGAGGTTAATGTCTGAAAAGAAGATTTCATCTCATTTGTTTTGGTCATCTAAAAACCAGTCCCATAAATGCGAATCTTGGAATGAACATCACTCTTCGAGCTACACTAGCAAGTTTATACTGACATCAGCCTTGATGCTCAGTTCATGAACAACTGCTGCTGACCAAAATGACTAACCTCAGAACTTTTCACAAGCAATCTTCACTTTTAAAAACTTGAACCTTACTGCTATGAATAATTACAAATGACTCTAATCAGCCATGATTAAGCTCCATGGGGACAAAGATTCTCTTTGTAACTATCATCTTATGTAGTATAGGGCTCTTAATGCAGTGAACGGCACTCACCATTAAGAATATCTTCAAAACCAATAGTCTCATCACTGCCCCTCAAAATATCCAGTGAGAGGTTTGAGCTGGAGAGAAATGGAAGACGTTGAACCTTGGAGAAAAGCAAAAAGGGCAAGTTTAGAAAAAGCAAGATGGGAAAAGAAGACAAAATATAATTTTATGCTTTTCACTTTTCCTTTGAAAAATTCACAAAACTAAGTAAAACATCAATTTAGCCTGTGGGAAGAACAATTCATATTTTAGATAGAGATCAAGTTTTAAAACATGTTGTCACTAAAATTATAGCTTTTATTAAACACTTTTTAATCCCATCCTGTATGTATATGTTTGGGGGTGCTGCTTCCCTTCAGGGTATGGCTGCTTGACGAAATGCAGAACTCCAAAGCCCAACACCATGCCTCACTCATAGTCCTACAGAAATCCAACTCAATCGAGCATTACTCTACTTAGGGAACAGATATTTTGTTTCTATATTGTTTTGTGCTGCTCTCAGAACAAATCTTGAGGTAGAACCTTTTCTAATAGTAGTAGCCATCAGAAATGCAGACAAGGCCGCTTGTGAAACTTTTAAAAACACAATGTCACTCCAACTAATATGGCTTTTTTTTTTCCCCCCCTTAACATATACTGCAGACTGGTAACTACAGCATAAGGGAGAAAGCACAGGCTATGGAAGCAGAATGACCTATACTCAACTCTGACTTCATCATTACCCAGTCATTTGCTTTGTGCACGTTACCTAATTCATTACAGCTTCAGCTGCCTCATCTATGACATACTGCAAACTAGCATGGGGTACTGAAACATATCTACATAGAAAAGTCATCGGCACATAGTTGTATGGTACTCAACAAACTTTAATGCACCCAAAGTGAATTTCTGGCCTTTCTGAAGATAATTTTATAAATTAATAAGAGTCAGTAATGAATGATGCTATTGCAATTAATCATATATGTTGTATGTAACTAAGAAGGCAGTTATGATGAGATCTATCCCTCAGTGTCTTTACTCTGAGTACACTGAGTGGTAAATACTACAGTGTCCAAGCAAATTAGTGTGAAAACACATTTACATTGTTCAGGAGTAGGTTCTCCAGTGACGGGAGTCAGAGACAGTGGGGCAAATGAATAAGAAGCAAACAAATACATATAGAAAACAGATACTTTGAAAAAACTAAATTTGTGGGAGCAAACAGTGTGAAAAAAAAACTTGCTATAAAGAAATTTGTGGGGCTGGAGAGATGGCTCAGTGGTTAAGAGCACTGGCTGCTCTTACAGATAACCTGGGTTCAATTCCCAGCACCCACATGGTGGCTAACAACCATCCATAACTCCAGTTCCAGATGATCCAACGCCTTCTTCTGAACTCTGCGGACATTGCAAGACACGGGTGTACTTACATACATGCAGACATAACACTCATACACATAAAATAAATAAGAAAACATTTTTTTAAAAAAGAAATTTGGGGGGCTGGAGACATGGTTCAGTGGTTAAGAGCACTGGCTGCTCTTTGCAGAAGACCTGGGTTTAGTTCCCAGCACCCACTGGCAGTTAACAACAATCTGTTAACTCCAGTTCCAGGGGATCCAATGCCCACTTCTGACCTCTGCTGGAAGTACATGACATGGGTGCACTTACATACATGCAAATAATATACTCATACACATATAATAAAAATAATATGAAAAACAAAAACAAAAAAAAGCAAAGAAATTTAGGCTGGGTGTGGTGACACGCATCTTAAATCCCAGCATCCAGGAGGCAGAGGCATGTAGATCTCTGTGAGTTTAAGAACAGCCTGCTCTACAGAGCAAGTTCCAGACCAGCCAGGGTTGCATAGTGAGACTCTGTCTATAAATAAATAAATAAATAAATAAATAAATAAATAAACAATTTTGGATTGATAAAATTTTGACACAATAGATTTGAATGTATATAAATGCTACTGATGAGACAAAGAAGAGGTGAAAGGTGTCTGCTACAGACAGGACCATTGATAAAGGGAGTTCCTTGAAATAGTGTGATATGATGGAATCCAGAACACAGGCAGGGGTATGTCCTTACAGGTAGAAGGACATGTTGTACATACTTATTCCTTAGTATAGACAACAGGTCTACCCAGGTATATATTCAACCCACAGAAAGCAGAAACATGAAAGGAAAAAGGTAAGTTTTTAGAGACCAAGTTTCTCATATGAAGATGTTTTCCATTAAACAACTTTTTCCCTGTATGAAGTAGGAATCATGGAAGCAGACTAGGTTGTAAAGGAACACAGAAAGGAAAGTCTAATTACAGCTGTTATGAAAACAGAACCCCTATGACTGGCATCAGCACATGGAGAACACACATGGAGAAAATTAACTCACCTGCTGCACTGCCTTAAATTCCATTTGTAATTTCAGTGGAGCAAAGAGACCCTGGATGTTCCTCAGTGTAGAAAAATTCATTTTATCTTGGTTGAGCTGAAACTACAGACAATGTTAACTGTAAGCGCTACAGTCAATATTCTGCTTTCAGAACACCACTGGCAGACACATAATGCAACATTTAGGTTAAGGGCTTAATATCCATAACTGAAGTTGATAAACTTTACAACTTTTATATCTACATACCTGTGTGTGTGTGTGTGTGTGTGTGTGTGTGTGTGTGTGTGTGTGTGTGTACACACGGTGATGTTCTTGTGTGCATTTGGATACAGATGTACATATGTGTTGCATGTAGAGGTCAGAGGTCAACATTAAGTATCTTCCTTAATAGTTCTTCATCTCAAGTTTTTGAGATAAGGTCTCTCACTGAGCCTGGATTCAGCCACACTAGCTGCCAATGAACTGCAGGGATCTGCCTGTCTCCTGTCTCCCTCCCAGCAATGTCACATGTCTTCAGGCACTGCTGTCTGATCTGTAGGTATAAACTCCCATTCCTAGCAGAGAAGGACGATGAACATCATCTTCCATCACTATCAAACTGTAGTTCTCAAGCATGGAGAGCAATGGAAGCCAGTAACATACAAATGAATAGTTGCCTACTAACTTCATTTACAGATAAGGAGACCATAACAAGCAAAGTACCTAGGTTTACTTAGTTACTGAGCATGACTACGTAGTTCAACTTTACAACTGTACTAAGGAACACTAAAAGACAGTAAGTACCACAAAGATTCACCAAAGAGAGGCTGTCACTAGCTGGTCATGTGATTAAGAAAGAAAACCTGGAGAGTAGACCTAAGTAGAAGACATATCATCATTCTGGCCAATCTAACTCAGGCTTATCAAAGAATCCTTTAACAGTTATTGCTCAAAACAGAACCAAGAGGAGCTGGAGAGATGGCTCAGTAGGTAAGAGTACTTCCTGCTCCTGCAGAGCACCCAAGTGGTTCTCAGCACCCAGACAACCATCTGTAACTCCAGTTCCAGGAGAGCCAATTCTCTCTTCTGGCCTCCACAGACACTGCATGCATGTGGCACACTCATATGCAGGCAACATATTCATACATACAAAATAAAAATAAATCTTAAAAACACAGGAAAGTGAGAACATAATCTCCTTTAATTATAGCCTTGCTTTGTCATTAGTAAGGGCCAAGACTTATTAACTCTTCTTTTTAGCAGCTACCATAATCTGCTCTCCTTTTTTTTCTTTTTTTTTTTTTGGTCTTTTTCAGACAGGGTCTTCCTACAGCCCCAGCTAGCCTGGAACTCACTATGTAGACTAGGCTGGCCTTGAACTCACAGGGCTCCGCTTGCTTCTGCCTCCCAAGTGCTGGGATTAAAGATGTGTACCACTACACCCGGCATTAATCAACTCTCTTATATTGAGCATACAGTCAACTAAAATTGTACAGGTTTACCCAAAATACAGAATATCACACTCACCTCACTAAAGATTTTTCTTAAAAGTTTGGACTTAGTCTTTAGTTTTATTTTGCCTCCATGATATAGTTCAATTAGTCAAAATGAACAAGCTTTCCTTTCAGAAAACTCTAGGTACCCTTATGATTACCCTCAAGTCCTTTTAAAAAAACTTTTTTTTTTCTTTTTCTTTTTGTCTTTTTGAGACAGGGTCTCCCTGTAGTTCCAGCTGTCCTGGAACTCACTATGTAGACCAGGCTGGCCTCGAACTCACAAAGATCCGCCTGCCTCTGCCTCCCAAGTGCTGGGATTAAAGGCGTGCACCACCACACCCAGCAAAAATGTTTCATTATTTTTATCTTGTATGTATGAGTGTATTGCCTCCATGCATGTAAGTGTGCTTGTGCTGGACAATGCCTGTAGAAGTCAGAAGAGGGTACTGGATCCCCTTGAACTGGAGTTACTACAGTTGTTAGCCACCATGTAGGTGCTGGGAGGAGAACCCAAGTCCTATGCAAGAGTAGCAAGTGCTCTTAATCACTAAGCCATCTCTCCAGCCCCTATCCTCAATGTTTATACACATTTAGTATTCCTACCTAAGATTCAGGAAGAGGTCAATGTCTTTACTAAGATACCCCCTTGAAATTGTCAATTAGTCATTGCTACCTGGGAGGTTGCCAGCCATAAACAATTCACTCTGCACTATTAATTAAACCAGGCCCTTAGAAACTGTTTGCCAAAAGACAATGATTCCTCATTGACCCACAAGGTAACTAATCATAGAATAAAAGTCTTACATGTCTGCTTTCATTCTGTGACCTCAGGTAAATTAATCACTCCATGAATGTCTAAACTTACCTCAACCATCTTTCAATGTTGAAGGTATAGACACCACTGCCTAAATATGCGGTCACCTTTAATTCTAAGACTGACAAAACCTCACAAGAGGGACAGATTCCCTCAGATGGGGGCAATTATCCATGAAGGTGAGACTATACCCTAGGGCAGATATAATCACCCCAAGTACCACCTTGTCCCCTCAAACAACAGGGACTTCTTTGGATCCTCTTGCAGACCGACTGCCCTGCAGGACTACGGTGAAATTATGATCAAGGAGACCACACTTAGACTAGGATGGCTTAATTATGCATACTTCTTTCCCTAGTCCCTCCTCTATTTAATCCTAAACCTCTCGCCTTGACTCAGATTTGGGGTCAATGGACCCTTTTATCAGTTTCTCTTCGCAATGTACGCACACTGACTGAATCTCCACTCTCTGCTTGTCACTAAGACTGGTTCCTTTAATTGGAATATTGGGACAGGCCTATTGGGGCTGCCAGGGCTCTGGCTTTTACCCTAAAAACTCCTGTATCATTCTCATTTAGACTGTAATTCATCATCTCATCCTGGACTTAGTCCTTGTCAGATAATTTGAGTCTTTGACTAGTTTGTAATTTAATGAAAGAACAGCCTATTGGGGCTGCCAGGGCTCTGGCTCTTAACCTAAAAACTCCTGTATCATTCTCATTCAGACTATCATTCATCATCTCATCCTGGGCTTAGTCCTTGTCAGATAATTTGATTCTTTGACTAGTTTGTAACTTAATGAAAGAACAAATTAAGACAAACGAACTCATTCAGCTTGGTTTTAACTGTTGATTTTACTTAAATGCTTACAGCAATTGTAACAGGGCTGGGGATATAGTTCAGTGGTAGAGTGCTTACCTAACATGCATAAGGCCTGAGGCTCAGTACCCAGCATGATATATACACATACATATACATACACACACACACACACACACACACACACACGACACAGACACAAAATGAGGAAACCAGGCCTGGTGGCATAGGCCTTAATCAAAGCTACCTGGGAGACTGCAAGCTCAAGAACTACCTGGGTTACAAAGTGGGTTCAAGGCTAGCCTGACAACCTGTACTAATTTGTCTCAAAATAAAAAGCAAAAAAAGGGCTGGAGATACGGCTTAATGGCACAACATTTGCTGTATCCCTGAACAAGGAAGGCCCTAGGTTCAATCTTCAATCACACACACACACACACACACACACACACACACACACACACACTGAGCAAGATAAAAATGTAACAAACATGCTGGGTGTGGTGGCACACGCCTTTAATCCCAGCACTTGGGAGGCTGAGGCAGGTGGATCTTTGTGTGTTCAAGGCCAGCCTGGTCTACATAGTGAGTTCCAGGAAAGCTGGAACAAGAAGAAGACCCTGTCTCAAAAAAGACAAAAAAAAAAAAGTAACAGACATGTAAATTACTGATACCTGAAAATGAAAAAGCTAACTCAATACCAGTGACAAGGCTACAAATCAAATCTAACATCAGAATATGGCTGACACATTAAAGATGATAAGATGATAGAGGCCAGGGATGTCGTTCCATAGCAGAATGCCTGCCTAGCATGTCCAAGGCCCTGGGCCTAATTACCAGCACCACAACCAGAAAAACAACAATAAATAATAGCAACAACTAACAATAAGAAAAACAAAACAGTGGTGGGACCAATTTTATCACAAACTACTTTTAGATTGTATCATTTTAGAGAACTGGGGCATTTATCTGTCTTCAGTTTTGAGGCGGTTGTCTCTCCTTCCATTATTTCTCAAAAATGATCAATTATGGTTTCATAATCACATACTTTTAAGCATATGCTTAGCTGTCAACTTCTGAACCTAAAACTTACATGCACTTATGGCAACTAGAAATTATTTTCTCATCTTTCTTATAATTTTACAATTTATTATTTGTTCTATTCTTCTTTATAGCAAGATCTTTCCCCTTGCTAAAGAGGAAGAAAGGAAAATGGGGGAAAGAAATCGATGAGCTTTATGTAACCTGGGTGACATTTCCCAAGTAATAAGCTGGTTTTTTTTTTCTCCTAAATGTTAGGAACCCTTTAAGTTGTCTTCAAAAGATGTGTACATGCTATTCCCTCTGTAGGGGGTGATCTTTTCTCATTTCTGTACCTAATGAATATTGATGTAAAATTTTTGAAATGCCCCCTCCTCTAAAGCCTTCCAAAACCCCCGAGCAGTGATGGGTGCAAAATCCTGGATATTCTCTGGCACTTTTCTATGAAGACTTTTATCCATTGCTCATCTTCCCTGTTAATTTAAGTTCCTTAAGGATGGCATTGTGCCTAGTGGCTATGACCCTCAGAAACTTGGAAGTAATGCAAAGCTTGAGAAGAGTTGCTAGATGTGGACTTGAATGACAGTAGCAAAAATGACAGGGGGAAGATGGAGTTATCAAATGAGAAAATGACTAATGGAACAATGCGCTAACCTTCAATGATGTTCATAAGGACAGAAAGGATATATACACATTACACAAATATTGAAAATAAGGCCTCCTGGTCTGGTCAAATCTTCAGCACCAGAACTGCTTTTCATTATGAAACAACAAAAGTATTACTAAAGTATTTTTCTAGTAGAAGGTAAAAAGACATACGTAACATACTTACATTTTTTTCTGATAATTCAAGAGGATGACTGGGCAAAAGTTCATTTTTCACACAAGACAACCTAGAGGGCAAAAAAAAAATTGTAAAGGGGATTTCATATCCAACAGGCAGAGCTTGAAGTGCAGTATAAAAAGTGTAAGTGTAATAGTGGAGCTCAAGGGCACAGGGTATAGCTCAATGGTTGATCATGTGCTTAGCACACAAGAGACCTGGGCTGGATCACTAGTACCAAAAAAACCAAAGCTAAAACCAAAATCAAAACAAATAAAACAAACCATACATATGATTATATAACAGTACTGCAGAGGTGGTAAAATAGTCTCTCTTAAGCCGGGCGTGGTGGCGCACGCCTTTAATCCCAGCACTCAGGAGGCAGAGGCAGGCAGATCCCTGTGAGTTCAAGGCCAGCCCGGTCTACATAGTGAGTTCCAGGACAGCTGGGGCTACAGGGAGACCCTGTCTTAAAAAGACCAAAAAAAAAAAAAATTGTCCTCTCTCATGATTGTGCCGATATTAGAATTGATACCTTTGTTAAAATGCAGAGAACTACAAATGAAAATTCTGATATCCTGTGTCTTAACTCTTTCAAAATGCATCTATTCTAGACACTGGTCAAGACTTCAATTACTAAGGGGAACTTTCCAAAAATATGCCAAATCATGTCTTATATCTATACTAAAGAATTAATAGTAATGCTGCTGAAAAGCTGTTGTATTCTGTTAGTGCACATTTAACTGTTTCTACTGAGTTCCATTTTTGTCTTTCATCTCTTTTAAAAAATATTTATTATTATTTTTTTTTATTTTATGTGTATGTGTGTATTGCCTGCATGTAGGTAAGTGCACCCCGTGTTGTTCAATGCCTGCAGAGGACAGAAGAGGCCACTGGATCCCCTGGAACTGGAGTTATGGACAGTTGTTAGCTGCCATGTGGGTTCTGGGATTTGAAGCTGGGTCTTCTGCAAGAACAGCCAGTGTTCTTAACTGCTGAGCCATCTCTTATCCGTTCTCATTATATAAATTTAAGTCTTTTAGTACAATTTTAAATTAAATTCAAAAAGAATTGAATAAGCATGTTTATTGCTATTGTAATTTTGATATTTCTCCCAGTACAAAATAGCTAAGCCTCTCTTCCAAATTTAATATATCTTTTACAAAGATATGCCAAAACTACATGCTTAACATTTTCTGAACACCTACTATATACAAAGTACTGTTAGGTGATGCACACCTAGAACCAGACCACTAATCTTCGTCATGCTAAGTACTGTCTAAACTAGGATCTGAGAACTCCAAGAAATCTAGAAATTCTGCAACAATCACTTACTGAGCATTGTCTTTAGTGATAACATTATCCAAAAGTAGAATATGAAAATGGCTATTATACAGGAAAGAAAAAATTAACATTTTATGGGGGGGCACTCACCAGGATTTGATTAGCGGCTAGTCTATTAACTTTACTACAATCAGAATTATGCCTCCAATTCAAAATGCAATATACTGTATCTTTTACTACAACTAAAAGGGATTATGTATAACCCCAGACACCAGTATTAGAATGTCATTCTATTTCAAGAAAAGTAAGCACTAAATTACTAAATTCTGAAACAAAATTTTTACATGAGGGGGAGTAGTATACGACCAAGCAGAAAACTGATGTGCCAAAAAAGAAAAGCAAAGGCATATATCAAAACACAAAGGAAATTACAGAAACAGGCATAACTAAGATAAAGCTAAAAAAGAAAAACAGCAGCAGCCAGAGCTTACTTAGTGCGTACTGATGACAGGTACTGTTTAAAGTATTTTTCAGGTATTAACTCACTTATTCCTCAAAGTAAGATATGTACTATTATTAACCTCACTTGACTTGTCAAGAGTTACACGTTCAGTGAATGATAGACCTAGGATCCAAACCTAGGCAGCCTGCGTACATCATCTTTTAAAAATAACAATCTGTGTCTGTGTTAGGCTGGCTAGCTAGCAAGCTCTGGAGCTCTGCTCCCCCTCCCCCCACCCCAAGTGCTGTAATTACAGTGCTGCAGTTACACTACCAAGGCTGCCTTGTATGTGGGTGTTGGGGATTCAAATTCAGGCCATGCGTGCTCAGCAGGAACTTTATCTGAGCTACCTCCCCAGGCCCAGAGTTTATCATCTTAACTGTTAAGTTCTAGTGCCTCCAAAAGAGAAATGAACTGCTCCTCAGTTAATAGCCTGAGGAGGAGTTTTAAGTAGGAATAAGAATCCTACCAAATCGAGGACTGGTGCTCTAGCTCAGTGATAAGACACTTACTTCCAATTACTTGGCACCCTAGGTTCAATCTCCAGTACTGCTCCTACCTCCCCACCTCCCCACCTCCCCTCTTCCCCACAAAAGAATCCTACTGACCATACTACTAGGTACCAGGTACTAGGAGGAGGCCCCTCCTGGAAACCTACCTACTATTTATTCTCCTACTACTCTAGATGAGTCTTCTACTACAGGAAACATCTAGACCTCTTCCCCCTCCCCACCATATCTAAGATATATTCCTTGTGATACCCCAAATTAAATACACATTTATAGCCTACAAAAAAAAAGGGTATCATGAAAAATAATCCATAGATGCAATTTATTAGAACACAGTCAAAGTCACAACTCCTCCACCTACCCTTTCCGAAGAAGATCATGACTTTCAAAAGGCCCACTTGCTGAAAGTTCAGTAACTGGAATGCTGTCTTTTAGCTGCAATCCAAGTCCTCTAGAATTCTATAACACAAATTAAAAACACTATTATATTCAAAAAGAATTTAAACATGCATACACATAGAACATTTTAAGTCTAACACACTATTTAAAGAGAGAGAAAATAAGAATTGTGCCCTCAAGGAGCCCAGGATCTAGACAGAAAGAGGAGCCTTTAAGTACTATGACAGTGGAGCACACAAGGCACAATGAGTAATATCACATTTGGGGGTGAAGGACTCATGGTCTGATTTCTGAATGCTGCTATATGGGAAGGAATTTGTGAAAAAATACTAGTTTGAAATGACTAAATAAATGTGTAAATGAGGTGGCAAAATTAAAAGATGGACAGTCTTACACACCAAAACAACTTGACTTTTACTCTAAAACTAATGGCCATGGAAGGTTTATGGTATGATCAATTAGATGTACTTCACTGAAAAGATCCTTCCCTTAGATTACAATGTTTAATGCAATGAAAAGGTTGAGGACAGAATCCTGGGGAATTCTAATCTTTAGAGACAAGGTCTAAGAACAACAACAACAAAATGTTTATTAAGACAACATAGCCAGGAAAACGGAATCATAGAAACTAAGAGAAAGGGGGAATTTGGTTTCTGTAAGAGGGTAGAGTTAGCTAATTGAGATGACATAAAATAAAAATTTTAAAACAGAGCATTTGGAACTGATCTAATGTCACCCTACATCCAATTTTACATTACTAACTGCTCAAGTTAATATCCCCGCAATTCTGCACAAAAATGCAAAACTGCAAGTAATTCGGTATCTATTACTATCTAGAATAAACTATTCAAAGAAACCAGCTCTTTAAGATTTAATTCATCTCTATTTTCCTAGTTGGCAGTGCTCACACAGGGATTCACTCGCACCCCGGGACTTGCTTTTCTTGACTTGCACCAATCTTCCAATTCAGAACAGCAAGGTTTTCCTAAAATACACAACCTCACCCAGCAAAACTGCTAAACAGAAACCCTTTCTCTGATTCATCAGCACCTGAGGAATAAAATCCAGGCCCTCCTTAGTCTGTTATTCAAGAACCTGCACAATGTGTTCCCATTTCTCTATCTACAAGAATTAAGAGAATTAAGTGAATTAAGAGAAAAAATTTACAATCTGGCCTTGACCATCACTCAAGTGCTCGGTGACTACTGGCCCAGCACAGACTCTTTTGGCCAGGTAGCTGAACTCCCTCCAGGACTAGAATTGTATGGTTCTAGCTTTCCCAATGTTAACTGACTTTATGGCCCTACATGAACATTCTCCTGCCAGACTGCTTCATTGTAAAGGGACAAAAGTTTCCTCTACACAAAAAGAAAGGGGGAATTCTGCCTTTAATCCTGGTACACAGGAGGCTGAGGCAGGTAGATCTCTGAGTTGGAGGACTATGCAAGCGAGACCCTAAGAAAGAAATGGGGTGGGGGGCTATTGTAAATTCTGGGTTATATTGTGATCATCTTTCCCCTGTCCTGTAAAATATTAGGACTAGTTCTTAAGGTTTCTAATATCGTATCAGAGAAAAACAAATCTGTAAAGGTATAAAAACCTTTTACTTTACTGAGTGTTTATCACACTTTACAATGATTAGCAGTATTTGCCAACACAAGCGCTCTAGACTTGGAAGGATAGCTTGCTAGTAGAACTGATACCAAGTTAGTGTAATAGTGACTCAGGAGTCTGCCTAAATAAAGTAAAAGAGAAACAGAAAGTGGGGAGGGAGGAGAGGCCAGCGGGAGGGCGGGGAGGGAGATGTACTAACGATACTGGCAAATAGCAGGTACACTGACAAATGTTTGTAACCGAAGGTTCAACTGTATACATGCGATCTACAATTGAGGGTTGATCATCAAACAGTTACAGAGCGGGAAATTACAGGGGGGCACAGCTGGAGGACTCCGGGTTACGCCTCCAAGGAGAGGGTGGCCTTACGGTCTCGCGCCACCCACAGAACGCTCCACTTTCTGGTGTGCCCTTTCTGCTCCGCGCCAACTACAAGGATGGGGCCCGGGCCTGAGAAGGCGTTGGGGATGGAACGCAATCCCACCGGAGGACCGGTACAGGACTGGGCCAAGGCTCCCAGGAACACCGCCCGCGCCAGCCCCGGGCCTGCACCACCTGCCGCACCGTGTGACTCGACAGAGCGCAGCCAACTCAGCTGCCAACAGGGAGCGCGCACCGGGCTCGAGCCCGCGCCACAGACCGCAGCCGGGGACTCGGAGCCCCGATCGTCCCCGCGCCACAGGCCGCAGCTCCGGACTCGGAGGAGTCAAGCCGGGAACTTGGCTGCCCAGGACTCACTCACCATTTTCACCCTGTTCCTTGAACAGCTTTCAACCCGCTACTGTCAGTAGGCCACGACTCTCACTTCCGTTTCCGGGGACGCCCCCTACATCCGCCGGAAGTGCGTCCGTCCGGCGAGGAAGGAAAGAGAGTGCGGGTGGTGGAGGGACCTGCCCCGGGCCGAGGCTCCCACGCTTGCGATCCCGAGGGATCGACGGTGGAGGGCGCAGCCATGGTGTGGGGTGGAGGAGGGCGAGGCGGGGGGAGCCGGGTCCGGGGAAGAGGATGGGAACCCGCCTTAGTAAACCTCCACCAGCCTAGTGCACGGGTTTTTAAGATGCCCACGTGACTGTGTAGCTACAGGTACCTCTCAGAGCTGGGCGTTGCGTTTTACTGGAGGGTGAATGAGGCCTAGGTGAAGTGAGTGACCTGCCTAAGATTGTTGAACTAGGAAGGCAGACCTTGAACATGAGGCTTTCTAGTTTACTTTTATATTTATAAAGCAAATGTCCGAGGCTTGTTATGTTCAGAATCCTGTGGTGAGGCTAAGAACTCAAAGGTCCAGACTAGCTTGGACTAGAGGAGCAGGTCGACTCCAAGGGCTGGAGGGTTTGTGGAGTGACAACTTAGGTAATGTCTATATGGTTAATCCATATTAGGTTCTTAGAACTACATATCAACACAACTGTACTTGTTTTACCTGAGTTGTCGCCCTAAATCCAATAACCTTATGAGGTAGGTACTACCATTACACCATTAAAATTTTTTTATGATTAATTGGTTTTTATGTGTATGAGTGTTTTACTTGGCATGTAAGTGCACCGTGTGTGCACCGTGTGTACAATGCCTGAAGAGGCCAGTAGAGGGCGATGAATCCCCCTGAAACTGGAGTCAGGGATGGTTGTTAGCCATCAAGTAGGCACTGAAAACCAAGCTTGGGTCCTCTGCAAGAGCAGCCAATGCCTTAACTGCTGCACTCTCTCTCTCTCCAGTCCCTATTACTCCATTTTAGAGGTAAGAAAAAGACAAAAATATACCCCAGGACCCAGCCTGAGTTCATAATTCATGGTCATAATATTACACTATTACTTTTCAAATAAAATGTGATAAAAAACAGCACTATGTTCTGCCAACAAGTAATGGTGATGACTTAAGAAATCCTTGGGTTGACAGCCAAGATAAAAGCTGGCTAGTTTAGCAGTAGGGTATATAAAAGAGCATTGGTAGGAGACTTGCCTGTGAAACAAGTGAACTGAGGGAAAACATGTCTACCTAAAGGTCAGAAAGTAAGGCAGAGAATAGTGTGAGTTAAAGTAGCTGGAGGTAAGGTTTATATGCAGATCATTGTGGGCTAGATTAAGGATAAAGCTTTTAAAAACCATGGAAGACTGGGGGTGGTAGGGCATATAGGAACAAACTATAGTCATATATGAATGAAAAAGTCACAGTGAAACCCAGTAGTACTTTGTATACCAATTAGAAATTAGTAATAAAAAAGGAAGAAAAATGCCATTCAAAATTATTATCTGGCCAGGCATGGTAGCACACACCTTTAGTCCCAGCATTTGGGAGGCAGAGGCAGGCAGATCTCTTGCGAGTTCAAGGCCAGCCTAGTCTACATATGAGTTCCAAGCCAGCTGGGGCTACAGGGAGATCCTGTCCCAAAAATACCAAAAAAAAAAAAAAAAAAAATTTATCTGGGGCTAGAGATATGACTCAGTAGTTAAGAGCACTGGCTGTTCTTGCAGAGGACCCAGGTTTGTTTTTGTTGTTGTCTTCCTTGACACTGAAGCCAGTCTGGTGACCTGTATGAGCTAACCAAATACAAGGTCAACTTCAACAGAATCTGTCAAGAATGCCTTTCCTTTGTTCTCACTCTTCATTTCCCATTTATTGCTTTTAGCTGTTTTCTGAGTCTTTCTTTGAGAGTGGAACGCCTATGTAGATCAAGCTGGCCTTGAACTTGTGGCAGTCCTACATCTGCCTCCCAAGTGATGAGATTATAGCTATATGCCACCTACCCAGTTTGAGTCCTAATTTTTGCTCTTAACTCATCAGCTGATTTGGTTCTCCCGACTTAAATTACAGTGTTGTCTACAGACCTGGAATTAACTTACCTTCTGACCTACCACAGCAGCTTGGTTAAACCCCAACTAAAGGCTCTTTTGTCCTTATGGCAGTCCTTTGCATATTCCAGCCAGGCACTCAAAAAGACCTCATATCTAATAAATAGTGAATGTCTCTTCTAGAGTTTGGGAGAAAGCTGAAAGAAGAAAAGAGATGTAGGAAAATATCTCTGAGCCAAGGAATTCTCTAGAGCCGAGGAAGACAAAATGTCAAGATTAAGAAACAATCTTGGGGGTCGGCTGGATGCCTCAATAGGTAAAAGTGCTTGTTGCACAGCCTGACAACGAGTTCAATCCCAGATGCCACATGGAAGGAGAAAACTAACCTGAAGGACTTACGTGCCTGTGCTTAACACACATGCACACAACAACAGTAATAATAGATTAGGAAAAAAGAAATTGCCTAAGGTGGGCAAATGGCCAAGTGGTACAACATTTGCCTAGCATGTTGTGAGGACTTGCTTCCATCCCCAGCACTGCAAAGAGATGGACACACACACACACACACACACACACAGACACACACACTCCCCTTAGGGGGGCAGGGCAGGGCAAGTACCATTGATGTGGAGTTTGGCTAATGGGATACTATTAAATGGTTCTGGTGAACAATTTAAGCAGAATGGTAGGATCAGAATCCAAATTGCTAGGTGGTATAGTTTGAATATGAAATGTCCCCCATTGACTCCTGTGTTTGAACACTTGGTCCCCAGGGGTGGCACTATTTTGGAAGGCTGTGGAACCTTTAGGAGGTAGAGCCTTGCTGAAGGAAGTGAGTCATTGGGGGTGGGCCTTGAGGTTTTATAGCCAAGCCCCAGTTCCTGTCTGTCCTCTGCTTCCTGCAGAGGCAATGTAACCAGATGCCTTATGCTCTTTCTGCCATGTCTTCCCCATTGTGATGGACTATATCCCTTCTCAAACTGTAAGCCAAAATAAACCCTTCCTTAAGTTGCTACTTATCAGATACTTCATTACAGAAATGAGAAGAGTAACTCGTAGGAATTAAGAATTACAGTAGATTCTCTTATCTATAGGAGATGCAGTCCAAGACTCTGAGTGGTGCCTGAACCACAGATAGTATCCTACAGATAACTATATTTCCATGCACAAATACCTATGATGAAGTTTAATTATGACAGCATACAGTAATAGAAATATGAATGTGGGTTCTCTGAAAATGTGCTGTAGATATTATAACTTCAGCTTGTGATTTTGTTTTCTAGCCTTATTAAATAGAGAACTTTCACTCTAATGGAAGCTCTTTAGGGCTTCTCTTTGGCCTATTCAAATTGTCTGCCTCACTCTTCTTTCACCTTTTGGCCATTATTAACAACAGAATAAGACCACAACATCTAGCCAGGGGATCTGGTAAGTGAGATAGTATATGCTAGACAAAGTCGTGATACATGTTCTGGGCAGGATGGGGTGGGAAGACTTGAGACTCCATCATGTACCTTAGAATAGCAGCTAATTAAAACTCATGGATTGTTCATTTCTAGTTTTTTTGTTTCATACTTTTGGATCAGGGTTGACCAAGAATAACTGGAACTGTGGGAAAACAAACCGTGAAGGGTAGAGGAGAATTCCTATACCCATAACAAAATGGAGTTCTGAAGATTAATCTTTTCAGAAAGTTGTCAGTGTCAAGAAAGAGAAACAGGATTTGGATTTATTTCATGTGCATGGTGGACAGACCAACGTTGATTAGACAGACCTTAGATAGAAAGTGAAGCAGGAAGATGTGGTGTATGCCTGTGATTCCAGCACTTGGGGCAGAGGCGGGAGAGTCAGGAGTTCAAGGCCAGCCTCAGCTACATAACAAATCTGAGGCCATATTGGGCTACATGAGACCCTGTCTCAAAAAAACGAAAACAACCCCCTCCTCAGAAAGAGTTAAAGGAACAAAAGTGATGACAGCCAGGAGAGAGGAACAAGAAGAAGGAAGGACTGAGGTAGTGACTTCTCAGATGACTTGAGCAGATGTGGAGGAGAACCTGGGGCAGGGATAGAGTTCTTAGAGTGGGAGAAGGAATGGTGAAGAAGTCCTGAACTGTGGAGGAGTACTGTGGGTGTAGTAGTGACCACAATGTGGACATAACCTGCAGTAATGACTTCCACCCAACCTTGCAACCAAAAATGTTACTGCTTATAATGTAAGCAAGCTTACTGAGCCCTAGGCTCATCTGGTGACCTAGATACCTGATCATACTCCCTCAGGACTCCACCTTGCCCTCCACCCAAGATGGTGAATATATGTGGGTATACTTGATTAAAATATCAAAGTTCTGGAAGCTGTTCTCATTGCAAACAAGGAGAAGAATGGAGAAGTCTGCCTGAAATTGTAAGTGAGAGATAATCTAGATCAAAGGGCAAGTTTCTCTGATAAGGGTAGATCCTAGCTTCACATCCCCAATTGACCCTGGAAATGCTGCTTCAATAAAAGTATCATTGAAGCCTGTCTCAGGAGCAGTTCCTTGAGCCATCTGAAGGAGTAGGTGGTTCTCAGAGTTTGGGTCCACTCTTGGCCTTAAAAATGAATGCTAAGAGTCAGGCTGCTTCTTTATTCAGGTGTAACTGTAAGATGATGTCGAAATGCTGCAGGTGGGAACTGAAATGTGATAACTGCTCTTACCTGATGTTTATGTTATGTTATGTTATGTTATGTTATGTTATGTTATGTTATGTTATGTTGTGAGAAGTGCTGGTGGGAGATTTACAAAAGGAGAAAAGTTGGTTAGTCACCATGGAGAATTTGCTAATGCGTCAGTAAGAAGAATAAGAATGGTTCAGAACCATAAGGTCATAAATGTCGTCAGTTTGTGGTGCACTACATCAGCAATTTCACCATTTTCTTTTTAAAAAAAAATTACTATTTTTATTTTTTTATGTGTATGAGTGTATTGCCTGCATGTATGTGAGTGTACCCATGTCGTGCAGTGCTGCGGAGGACAGAGAGGGCTTCAGATTCCCCTGGAACTGGAGTTAAGGATGGTTCATAGCACCATGTGGGTGCTGGGAATCGAACCCAGGTCCTCTGAAGAGCAGTCAGTGCTCTTAACCACTGAGCCATCTCTCC